GGGTGGGGTGGGTGGCAGCAGATGCGGGGAGAGCGGGGGTGGGGAGCAGGGGTTGAGGGGTCGAGGGGTCCATGAGAGTGGCATAGGGGGATGACTGTTCAGACCAGGAGGAGGGAGCTTGGTGGAGGCCAGATCGCGTTATGTTGAAGGGGGGGGGGGACGCCCTGTTGCGGAGAGGGCCCCGGGGCTTGGTTCGGGATGGTGGCAGAAATGGGGAGGAGGGCGATCCCGAATGGTGGCTCGGCGCGTGGCGCAGCGCCTTCCCAGCACGTCGGAATGACATGGTGAAGCTTGCGACATGCTAGGAAGGTGAGCTGCCGGAGACATGGACACCGGCAGACCTCCCCCTCATCCCACAAACACTCACTTGCGCACACACGCGTGGAGAGGGAGAGAGAGAGAGAGACGACACACACACACACACACACACACGCACCCATACACATGGGCAGCTGTGCAAGACCGCTGTCTGGCTCTCACTACCCCTTGCACGCCAATGCGACCTTTCATGAACCATCCATGCCCCCCAAAAAAGTCACCCACAGGCTGACCAAACCCGCTCGAGGCCCGCACAGCCAGCAGACTGCCAGGGCCCTGGCGCCTGCCCCCCGCAACGCACAAACCACACCAAAAAATACTTCTCCTCCTCGCCCTGCCCATGCACACGTGCACACGCACACGTGCGCGCACGAGCCGCTGGCCGCCACCCCCCACGACCTGCATCTTGTCCCCCACCTGATCAACCCACAACCCCGCCTTCTCAAGCACGCACACACACAGAAGCTCACACCAGCGAGCTGCTGGCCACTCACACACACACACACACATTCACACTCACATACCATACACACCACACACACGCACACGCACACGCACGCGCTCACACCCACCTGCGCCTCCACTCGCGCCTGGCCATCGCCCAACCCCGCCTTCTCAAGCACGCGCGCGCGCGCGCACACACACACACACACACACACAGATTTACACATGCGCGCGCACCCACCTGCGCCTCCACCCGGGCCTGGTCGAAGAACGACCCCGCCTTCTCCAGGACCAGCTGCAGCTCCACCAGCTCAGAGTAGGACCGCATCAGCCGCTCGCTGTTGCCGTTGACCTCGAGGGTCTCCGCCTCCAACTCCTCAAGCTTGGCCTGCGGGGCGGCGTTTCATCACAGGCGGCAAGTAGGTATTTACGGCGCGTGTGTTGATGACAAATCGGATGGACAAGGGCACCGCTGAGCGCGGCTGACCGCGGCTGCACGATGAGTGCAGGCAGGGCGGGGG